CCCACCCACACATTGACGTGGCCCTTCTTAACCACGTGGGAAAGCTCAACGTTGAACTGTTCGGAAGGTCGCGATACAGTATTCAGCAAATTTCAACTACGAAAATCAACACTAAAGCCCATGCTACGACCAATGTCGAGAACGTTGTCATTCATTGCAGTGAGCATTACAGAGATCGGATGAGAAACGAACAACAAAATGCAGAGAAGCAGAGAATAACGAGGAAACTCTGTAGCAACGAGCAGCTTCCAGAGCTGAGTTTTTAGCCCTGTCGATTGAGGGCATGTTCATACACTTTCTTCTCGTAGCCCTGGTCGTGTGCAGCTAAAGAGAAGGGGCTCCTATTTCGAGCTTCTCACACGGTTTCCTGCTTTTTCTTCACTGTCGACTTACTTAACACTCGACACATCATATTTGAACAAGTAACTTCTTCCTTTTCTCAGGAGCTTGCCTTTAACAAGTACAAAATCCTGCGACCAAGTAAAGGTATTCTCACGTACCGTACACAAAGAGAACGTTCTTCTCTCTCAGCATTATCACACCTAGCTGTGGGTGTTCTGTTCTGTTAGGCGAAACATAATTGACAACGCGTAGAACAAGGGCTTCTGCGGTAACAATTGAGGAACCTAAAACGTAAGGCATTATTCGTTTTTTTTGTAACTCTACATTTGCGTCTTATTAGCCTTTGAAGGCTGTCCACATGGCTAGTATGGGTAAGGTGAGCCACCACACGTTGATTTCATAGCAGCCATCCAGCCCTCGCCTCCACCCTTCCTCTCCCACCCCTTCCCCCCTCCTCCCCAATCTCGTACTCGGCACCAACCTCGTAGGTAGTGCACCTCGCAGAAAGCTGCCGGTGTTAATGGCCCAACTCAGGCAAAAGTCTTATGGACAATCCCCTTTTGTCTGAAGGGTATACCCTAGAGGAAAATTGCAGGTGTGGCACTTCCTGTGCATGGGAATCGCCCGTCAAAGGTGCTAAGGTCCCGCAAAGAAATCTTCAATTTTTTCTCATTTTTCCGTAGCGGCCTGTTTCTGCCCTCTCATCTGCTGCGCTCTCTATCTTACACTCTCCTCTCCGTGCGCTCACTCTCTCATTGCCTCTGCACAGCCTTAACTCTCTCATTGCCTCTGCACAGCCTTACTACAGATGACGAAGCCTTCAACCTAAGCCGGTCCGAACAAATTCTTCCCGTTTTTTACTGCTGACCCATTTCGCACCAATACTTCCATATTTGTGCGCAAGAGCCACACTGGCATGATCCAGCGGCATGAATCCAACGCGTGGTTTGTATTTACTTACAAAACGAGGCATAATAAGGTCTCTATAGTATGTGAAACCTAAACTGTTCTATCGGAAGAGAGATTGTATTATATTGATCGAATTCCATAGATGAGACGGAACTCACGATTCATTCCAGGACCGGCTGCTCTCAGAAGTGGTGCCAGCTTGAGCCCTGGCGAAGGAAGACAAATTGGAGCCACTTCTTTAGTAACGACGACATCTTTATGGAGCTCAACAATTGCAATGTCATGAACTTGCGTGCACGGATCCCAGTCTTTGTGAGCCCAAAACTGTAAAAATTTTGTTTTCAAAAGGGATAGAAACTTCAGAAAAATGTCGTAGGATCCATGCATTAGGAAGGAAGCGATTTAACTTAGCCACCAAGGAAGCGAGGTAAAGGGCTTTCACGGCAAAAGGCGCGCTGTTCGCTGAGCAGTACTTGGAACGAGCTCCGCCCCAGAACCATTCTCCCGGATATCCGACAGGAGGCCCGTTGCGCGGCAAAAAGGCACAGCTAGCGGACTCGCAGCGCGTGCTGTAGTACATTCTATAATATTTAACTTGACGTGAAATCGTCACTGTAAGCGCCGCGATTCGTACGCTGATTCTGCCTTCTTGCCGCGCGTGACGGGCCTCCTGTCTAGTACCCTGTTCCCTTCACTAATTTAGTCGGTGATTTGGACGAGCTGTGTTGCCAGCAACGTCACAACCGGAGCGACTTGACGGCATGGCGCCACCAAACGCGTAACGGCAAACTCGTCCATACGTCCGCCATCTTAGCTGCTGCCCGTTCATGAGCGAAAATCAACGGCCAAAAAGGGGTCCCGTTTTGCGTTTTCTTGACGGATTTCTCTCTTTTTCGCCACTGGCGTACCATTGAGCACCCCCATGTACCCCCAAACCTCTCTGGAACCTATCGTAATCGCTGCCTTCGAACTGTAAGAGTTGGAGTCGATATCCGCGTTAAAATAGGCCATTGGACTACAAAGAATTCCTCTGTCTGAGTGTCAAATTCATAATTCAATTCAACCCGCGCCTCTCGGAGAATCGCCTCGTCGCGACACCGCGCATGTGGCCGCACCCGGCGACGCGACGACACGATTCTGTTGCCCCCTTAAGACCGCCATCACACTCGGCGACGGACAAGCGATGGAGCGACGCGATCGAGTCATAGCCTTCTCGTATCGTTACAATAAAGGCGTGACTGTCATCCTACTACCTTGCTGTTGATCCCACAGGAAGCATTTGTTCTTTGATTTAACCCTTGCAGGGTTATGTGGCGCTCTCTCGGGTGGGTTTAGTAATAGTTAGTGAAGTATAAAAAATATAGAATAAATTTTCCTGTCGAACGAACCATTTTCACACGTCGGCGCTTCAAACATTGTTCGGGATTAAGGCACTTACTTCCTATGAAGACGGACATATCAGTTTTGTTGTAGAATCGTGGTTTGAACCTGAATTCGATAGGCATAGATTTCGTATCGAGGTTAGATTTCCTGGGACATTAAGAAGATAATAAGGTCAACCGTCTGTTCGAACAATTCGAGCGAGGATGAGGTCGAATTTGCGAGGGTGGGAGATGGGTCGAATTTGAGGTTGGCCATTTTAGGGAAAGAGTGAGCAGGAAAAGGGTTTGTGGAAGTTGTAGGGATCGTTGGGCGCAGAGTAGGGGGCGTTTCAGACGGGTTTTTTGACGATATTGGAGGAAATTTTACGAAAGAACCGTAGAGGGTAACCCGTCACACATCCCCTCCCACGCTCGATAGCCGTTTTGGAGAGAAAAAGTGGCGGTGTTGGAGCGCGCCGCGTGGGTCGTATTGAAACTGCTTGGTAGGGAGAGGGGGGCGTAGGGGTAGGTGGAATCGTTGAAAAAGAGTGAATGCGACGGCTGACCTTGCCCATACCTAACTTGACACTTGATAGCGTCATACTGCTGACTCTGTTACTACTTGACACATTTTCAGCTCCGCCCCTTCACCCCAGGAGTTGCAAATGTTGCGCCAAGCCCGAGAAGGCAGTACAAATGACGGCCAAATTTGCGAGTGTTTCACTTCTTAGGCCATTCTCTCCCTATCCGCCACATACAAGCCT